AGCGAAGAGGATGTCTGAGAGGATGAGCTTGCGGTGCGCAGTGGGTAGCAGATCCTCCCCAAAGGCGATCCCGAGCGCTGGGGCTGGGATACCCACGACTGTCTGCAGAGCCCGGGGCAGGGCCTCGGGGATTTCCCAAAGGAGATTCCGGGGCCTGGCGAAGGTCACACAGATAGCCCCCCCCCCCCATTGGACTCTACCCTTAGAAGAGAGATTTCTTTTCCCAAATTCTGGCCTTCGGAAGCCAGTGGTGGGTGTGGGTGGGAGTTGAGTTTTAGCAACCTCCGGTTCAGATAATTTGAGGTACATTTGTCAGGATCTCAGATTTCTTACACAGAACACTCCCTTCTAGTTTGCACCGGCTCTGGGCCTCCACGACCTCAATGTCATAAAAAATAGATCTAAGACACCTTTTATTTAGAAGGACCACTTGCTTGTCTCTATTCCCTCTCTCACTCCCTGTCTCTTTTCTAAACAATTCACCTGAGTCATCTTTAAACATCGCCCTGGTCCTAGCCAGTTGCAAATCCTGCCTGCAAACAACAGTGTTTGAAGTGAGCTTTTTCTTTCTAAATAACTGTAGGACCGAAGTTAGCCATCTTTGAAATTTTCATTTTCTCTTCAGCTCATTAAAATGTCTTTTCTTTTTTCTTTGTTTTTTTTTTGGGGGGGGAAGCTTAGAGAAGTAAGAGTACAAATATAGTTTCATAGTTTCAAAGTAGGACTAGCAGTGAGGAAATGACTATTTTTGCATGGGTGTCATGTTTTGTTATATCACCAAAATTCCACAAGCACTGAGGTAGCTTCTCCAGGCATCGGATTATTTTTTAAGATAGATCATGCTGTGGTTTGGATAAGTATCCCCCAAAAGCCCATGGGTTAAGGGCTTGGTCATGGCCAGTCTTACTATCAGGAGGTGGTGGAACTTCTAATAGGTGGGACCTCGTGGAAGGAAGTTAGGTGGGTTATTGAGACTCCAGCCATTCCCTCTTTTTCTTTGCTTCCTGGTTGCTATGAGTTGAGCAGCTTCCTCTGCCTCATGCTTCCACACTGATGTACTACATCACCATAGGCCCCCAAATAATGAGCTTACCAACCAGGGACTGAAACCTCTAAAATCATGAGCCAAAATAAACCTTTTCTCCTTATAAGTTGATTGTCTCAGGTATTTTGCTATGAGAATGCAAACAGACTAACACATGTTTGCATGTTTGCCAAAGAAAAGAAACAATGTAATATTTCTCCATTGATTACTTTCAAATTCAAATTTAAATTTATTTTGCTGAGCTTCAGCAAAATAAAAGGATACCAATAGCATTCTGCCTCACCTCAATGTCCCTAAAGCTAAATTTGTTATTTTCCCCTTTATTCCAGATTAAATTGTCTTAAGCAATAAGGAAAATATATTCTCTCATGTATAAGAAAACTTGGGATAGATATCCATATTTTTAAAGGTGCCCTGAATGATGTGTTCTGTCATAGGTTACATGAATTTTTATAGTTACAGAACAAAGAAGGTAATAAAGCAATACATTTAACAAATACATTGGTTTAGGTATTAGGTAGGTAGACTACAGAAAAGTAGGAAAATCTTTTTGTGTAGGTTTCAGCTGTTATAGAATTCTTGACTTTAAGATTAATGGAGGTTAGAGGCTTGCTAATCTTAACAATACATTCCTACAGGTTTATCTAATAGTCATGGGATTTTAGGTCAGACACAAAGGTTAAAAGCAAATGGTGGGCTGGAGTTGTAGCTCAGTGGTAGAGCACTTGTCTAGCATGTGTGAGGCACTGGGTTCAATTCTCAGCACCCACATATAAATAAATAAAATAAAGGTCTATCAACAACTAAAAAATATTTTAAAAAACCAGCAAATGACTATTTTTCTAAGGGGCCAAAGAAAGCACAAGATAATTTTGGCTCTTACCCTGCATCATTCCATTTCTTTGCAGTCACAATGTTCTGCTCTATTGGGTCAAAGGGTCTATATAATCTTTTAAATCCACATGGCTTCTTTAAAGAACTTCAGCTTCACACTAGCAAAGAGTAAGAAACTATCATAAATGACTTAAGTTAATTAGGATTGCCCCCTGTGGCTAGGAATTATATTTCCCTCCCCAAGCACATGGCCTTGAAGAGATGGATGATACTGGGCAAAACTGGAGTTGTCTTGGAAGATCAGACAATGGTTGGGAAGACAAACAATGGTATTTGATGCAGATGGCAATATGGTAAGTGTATCAGTTAGGATAAGCTAGGTTTAGCTATGGTAACAAATGATCCCAAGGTGGCTTCTAATAACAAAATTTTATTTCTCAAAATATCATGTATGTCCACTGTAAGACAGATTAACTATCCTTTGGTTGTCTTCATGCCGGAACCCAGGCTGATAGAGCAATTTATAACTGGAACAATGTTAGTATCTCGTGGAAGAAGGAAAACAATCATGGTGAACTACATACTGACTCTTAATAATTTGGCCTGGAACTTATACATGTTAGATATGCTTACATTTTCTTCACCAGAATAGGTGTACCTGGCCATACCTGATACCCATGGGGTAAGGAAGTATAATCTTTCCCTGAGAAGGGCAGCAAAAATTTGCAAGAAATTGCAACCAAAAATAGAATTATCTGCAATCAAGACCGGAAATAGCCAAATCCTGTTCTTCTAATCATCTCTCCTCTCCTTAGGATTCCCAAGGGAACTATGCACAAAAAAGAAATCGGAATGGGAACCAAAAAATCATTTTATTCAAGCTAATTTAGCACCCAGTAACCTCTAAAGCAGACTCCTACCAAAAATTCCCTGCTCCCCTCCTCCCCTGCAAATTTTGGGGCCTGTACACTTAGGCATGCCTGCAGTCAGGAGAAGATGACCAGATGTACAAAGCAGACCACATTTTTGTTTGTTTTAGAGATAAGGCTCTCACTATTTTGCCCAGGCTGGCCTCAAGCTCCTGGGTTCAAAGTGATCCTTCTACCTAAGACACCTGTTTTGCTCGTCTAAGTGTCTGTTAAATGGAGACTGGGCTGGATCTATACAGCAGGATATGGGAAATGACCTTTTAATACAAATCAACCACAACCACTAATAAAATGTGGACTAGTTAATGTCCTGGTACAATATTGTGATATAACAAGATATATATATTTTAGTCTTTGTTCACAGCTCTTAACTATATCTCCAAAAACTTGTAATTTCCTAAGTGATAGTTATATTTGGCTTTATCTCCATTCCTGAACAGCTGAAGGGAACACATTTTGTTATTTATTACAAGCTTCGTTCAATCACACCTGTGTTTATGTTAATGAGGTGACTTTTAGAAAGCCCCCATAGGGGGCTGATTATAAGAGGAACAAACCATGTGATTACAGAGTCAGAACTTTCAGCCTCACCATCACCTCTGGAGAAGGAAGAGGGCTGAAAGTTGAGTTGATTACCAATGGCCAATAATATAATCAAACATGTGTATTGAATGAAGCTTTCATAAAAATCCTAGTGGGCAGCATTCAGAGAGCTTCTGGCTGAATTCAAGGTACTGGGAGGGTGGTGCTCGTGGAGAGGGCATAGACGTTTCATGTCCCTTCACCCCATACCTTGCCCTACGTATTTCTTACCGTTTGCTTGTTTCTGAACTGGATCCCTTATTAAAATTAGAAAAGTAAGTCAAGTATTTCTATGGTTTATTTTTTATTTTATTTTGAGATAGGGTCTCAGTAAGATGCCCAGGCTGACCTTGAACTTGTTATTCTCCTGCCTCAACCTCCTGAATTGCTTGGAATACAGGCATGTTCCACTGTGCCTGGCTATTTCCCTGAGGTTTGTGATCTATTCTAGCAAATTATTGAACCTCTAGAGGATGTCATGGGAATGTCTAATTTATAGCCAGTGAATAGAAAGTATAGGAGGCCCACATTTGCAATTGGCACCTAAAACAGAGACAATCTCGTAGGACTGAGCCCTCAACCTGTGGGATCTGATTCTAACTCCAAGTAAAAATAGTGTCAGAATTGGATTTCATTGTAGGATACCCTGATGATGTCCCCTGCCCACACACACACACATACACACAAAGGGGTAATTGCATGTTGTAGAAGTGAGGTAAGATAGAATACATAGGAATAGGTAGAAAGGAGACATGAGAGACATCACAAGAGTAGCCGTGATTTAAAGTCCACTTTCACATGGATTAAAAGGCCAGTTAAAAGCTTGTGATCTTGATCACAAACAGTACTATTAAATTAATTATTAGACCTTATTCACAGGTACACCAATGTGGTACTGTTTAAATTCACAAAGCATAATGCATCGAAAACCAAGAAGAAAAGACATGAATCCCACCCCCAACATCCCTGATAATGGTCAACGTGTCAGTAAATGACCCACACCCTGCAATCACGGTAATAGTCCACATGCTTGGTTACCAACACAAAGGAGAATGACAAATACTCACCTAGATCATGTCCCTTTATGACTGATCTGACTTGTATAAATATGCCTAGCTTCGATACAGCTAGCACATTCCTCTCC